CCATATGTACAGTAAATTTACATCGTCTAATATGGAAAAGAAGAATATTTTTAAAGGAGTTTCGGTTTGGAAGTTTTAATAAGTTTCCGCAAGAGTTCGTGAAGGGTTTCTTCAATTTACGAAGCATGTCGTATTGTACTAGGGAAATTTAATGCAATGCGGAGAGTCTCTTAGTGGTCTTTCTATATATTTGTACGCGCGAGACAGTGGCGCTTGTTTTGCGATTGCTATTATCGCTACTACATTTTGTTTAAATATTCTTCAAACAGAACGAAATCATTGAAAATCAAGTCGTTGACGAATACAGAATGTTTGCTAAATCAGCGTCAGAGTTGAATTTCATATGAAAAGCTCTTTATTATACCATTTAAAATTGCTGACTTCAGTCGTAATTATATACAATAATTTGTCATTATCATTATAAATATGAAGGCACCAATCAAAACCAACATTATTGTTATTGTTTAATGACTGTTTTCAATTTAATCAAAATTTAAAAAATTACACTATGTTGTAATTTAACACAATCACATTAATTTCCTCTTAAATTCAATTGAGTCCAATGTATTGTTTTTGTTAAGAGCCATGAAAATTATTACTCAACCTTTTATGTACATTAGCACTTTATTTTCTATTTTATGGTCACAAGTAAACTAGAATGTTTTTTTCTCTTTTATTATTGTAAAATTAAATCTTGCAATATGCAAGGAATCAAATCAAATAATAATCATGCAAGTAAAAAAAACAAAAATCATGATTTTTAACAATTTTTCGTTCTGCGATGAAGATCAAAATTCTTTTCTTGGCTCACCAAATTATAAGAATAAGAAATTTGTGTTAAAGAATTCGCGCACACGAATTGCTCGTATATAGTCAAAAAAAGAAAAAAAAAACAAATATATACAAAAATAAAACTTCCATCAAAAACTAAACAGATAGGTAGACTTAAGACAAAGAGACATTACATGTAAGTGCGACCTATAAACAACAAAAAACGCGCGCGATGAGACAGAAGAAGAAAAACGACAACTCTAAGAGCAACAACTTATAATAAACAAAAAAAAAAACTAAAACATTACAATTACACAAACATACACTTAAGTGCTGGAAACTAAAAAGAATAAAACATAAATAAAACCTGTTAGGTGTTTGTTTATTGCCGTTTTTTATTTCTCCTTTCTTTTTTCCATTTTGTTATCTCTCCACTGCACTCCACAAAACTAAAACGCAACAACTAAAATAAAACTGAGGCATCATAATAAAAACAGTAATAATAAAAAAAAAATCTCATATTCATTATTTTTAAATAAATCTTCAGATCATAAAAATGAAAGAGACATAACGTGCCATCCCACCTGTAGAGAGTATAAACTTATAGATGCTTTTGTTTTTCAAAAGGAAATTATCATTATTATTGATATAAATTACCATTTGATTCTGATCGGAGTATGTATAAAAAGTCCATTCGTTCATAATAAGTGAGAACGTAATTTACGATATAATTTGAGCTTCATTCAATTGAATAACTGAATTTACTATAAAAACTATATTTGAAATTTGGCATTTATTAAATTTTTTATACTTCAATAACCATCAAATTTTTGAAGTTAAAGCACTTGCATAAAACTTGTTAAAACTATAATAAATAAGAACGTATTTTTAACTTGAAAGGACGCCAAAGTTATTGTTTTGTGTTCAATCAACAGATATGGTATATCCTATAAGCAGGCAATTTTTTCACAAAGTTTAGAAACACAAAAATATCGAAAAATAATTTTTAATTCCAAACAAGATGTGTAAAAAGGCAAAGAATTATATACTTAAAATTAGTGTAGGTATATTCAAAAGTACTTGCTTCTCAACTAAAATATTAACGACATCCCCTCAATTGGAGCGGTTAAAGAATACAAAAATATTGTATAACCTTAGATGTAGTTTTACTTTTAATATTACCCTACCTTCATTTTATGCTATAATATTCTAAATACGTTTTCCTTCATTGAGTTTTTGTGTTTCCTTCATTGTGCCACTTTTTCAACACATCAGGTGTTACTTGGCTAATTTTGTACACCAATTTTGTACAACCTTAATCACCCAGCTTAATTTCTTAATATTAGTGTATATTCTATTAAATTTTTTTAAATTATTTCCATTATTAGTATAGATAATACAAAACGACAACACTATTAATTACATTTTAGGAAATAAAATAGTAAATTTTAATGTACATACATCTATATAACTTGTACAAAGAACTCATCAACAAATCACGGTCACATATTAAAATAAAAACAGCAAACTGAACTAAAAACAAGCTTATAATGTATGTAATAACCATAAAGAGTATTGAATACATAAAAAAAGCAGCTGAACCATAAGTAAAGGAAAAAAAAAAACGCAACTCTTAAAAAAGCGGAAAAAAAATTAACCATAATAGTGTAATTTAAAAAGACAAATTGCACACAAGTCGAATTCCTGCACTTCATATGTTCTGGGAAAAAATATCTGTACAACTTCTAAAAAAAGATTAAAAAAAAAACTAAAACTGAACCATAAACACGCACATATACACTGTTAAGAAGTACTAGAAAGAAAAATTACAAAAATAATAAAAAATATTGCAAAATACCAGAAAAAAAAAGAAGAGAGAAAAAATAAAAAACTTTAAAATTGCAACAAAACGATCTTGGCTCAAAAAACTTGAAACTTAAGTGAGTCTTTCTTATAGATACTTGCATTAGGATGAAAGGGGGAATAAAATTGTTGTTTTTTTTTGTTTTTATCGTATATTTTGAATTTAATAAGAAGAATGACTTGACGATGATGATTTTCTCTTTATACACACTTAAATATACCTACATGGTTATAGACTTTCAATGCCTATATGCAACATATTCCATTTAATGTATGTATATGTAAAGTCGTTAAAGTTGAAGGACTTTAACTAATTTTATAAAGAAGTTTCGTAAAACATACTTAATAAATTTTCATATTTTTTTTTACTTTTTTTTAAAAGAACGTAACGCATGTATTGTCAATTTTTAGTATTTTAAATTTTTTTTTCTGGTTTTCTAGAAATTAAATTGCAATATTCGGAGTTTTTCACACTTATTTTAATTTTTAAAGTGTTACCATCATCACATCGTCATCATCATCATCATTATTATTATTAATAATATATTTTAAGTGCCTAAATATACAAGTGTGTTATTTGTATATACATATGTAATATTATATATGTAATATTAATTCTCAAAATTTCTGTACAGTGAAATTTCGGACAATAATTGAACACTGGTAATAAATAAGATTTTATTCTTAAATATATAAGTGTTGTCGTTTATATAAAAAATAATATAGTTATAGAGCTAAGTCGTAAATAATTTAGATTGAGGATATTAATCACACTTACTTAACACGTACTGTCGTTCAAAACCCTAACAGGACTAAAATGTAAAATATTACAGAGAAATAAGCATGTAGATTTAAATGAAATAAAAATACGGACTTGATTTGTTGATTTTTTTGGATGAACCTAAACAAATGAACCTAAAAATAAAGTAAAATTTAGTATATAGCGATAATATTTAAAATAGAGTTTCCTTACATGAAAAGTGGATTTAAAAATTAATTAATATAGAATTTTCCCCAATTGCAGGGTAAATATTATGCATAATTTGGCTGAAATTGTTGATAAAAATGAAGAATACTCAATATGAGAATGAGCTTTGCTGATTGTATTATAAAATTAATTTAAATAAATCTGGTACTAGTATAGTAGATATAGTATTCTTAGTAGATAGTTTTTACTGTTACAAATATTAAATCTTATTTTTTAATGCACTTTTAAGTTTACATATATGTGTGTATTAATTTATGTATTCAAAAGATGATAATAAACTTGATTACAAACCTAAAATATCCATGTGCATATATAGGTGTTAAAAATATTGCGCAGGTGTTGATTACTTTTTTAAAAGCCTTTCATATTCCAAACTCAATAATATAGTGTAGGTGTGTATATATGAAATGCAAGAAGAGTTTTCTCCGATATTAAAGTTCACTAAGTAAGTTTGTGTTGGTACATATAGTATGTATAACATTGTTTATTAAAATTGAATTGGTGTTTCGCGAAAGTATATTGTATAGCATGTAAATGAATGCAATGATATATATGTTTCCATTTTGATTTATTATCATTTACTTATATATACCAACAAACCATATAATAAAACGTCAATTATAATACAAAATTTTGAATGATTGAATATTTTGTGGTTTACATAACTAATATTGGTCAAAATTGGCATTTTGTTTTCAATCTACAATAATATTGAAAAGATTTCGCATAATGTAGAGTTGATATATATGTAATTTAGTTTCATATTTAACTATATATGAAAATATACAAATAAAAATTTAGTTATTTGAATTACATTAACCCTTTAATTTAAGTTTTGTTCGTAAAATATTTTACCTATATAGAACAAAACTACATGTGTTTTTGTTGTAGAATTAAATTGTATATAGTTTGTGTGTATTTATGTATTAATTTATGTACCTCGTACTTTAATATTTATTTACAAGAAAAATAAACAAAGTAAATAAGGTAAAATAATTTTCAAATCAAAAATATAGGCTTCTTTTGAATATAATCTCAGTCACCATTCAAAAATTTTATTGAATTGTTTGTTATTTTTATTTTAATAATAAAATGAATTTGTATTTGCTTATAAAGCAATCAGAGCCGAAACAAAATTGAAAACTGTAAAGATGAAAGAAAACCATTGGCAATATATGAAAATTAACTATACCCAAATATTGACATAATTGCCCTATTGACAGCAATGGACGGAAAATAATAAATAATTTCAAAATTATTAATTTAAATGTTATGACTCCAACAATATTTTGAATCAATTGAATTTAATTTAAAAAAAAAAAATCATTTAATAAAAATTTTTAATTTAATTTTTCTTTTCCATTTTACTTTCTTATAGGTGAACATTAGCGTGTTTGTGCGGCACAAACAGAAAATTTAATTGGAAAACACAAAATTACGATCTTAGAAGTGCAGAAAATTTTTTAAGAAGCAAAATCTTTGGTGAAAAAGAAAAAAAAAGAGAAAAGCAAAAATGAAAATCAGTGTGTTAAATCTTCAACTCCTTAAACCAGATGATAATTAATTTTATTTAAAAAAAAAAATAAGAAAAGAAAAACGCAAACAAAGTTTGTAACCCTGTGAACCCCACATAAGAGTGAAAAATTTCAATTTAAAAGCGTGTAAATGATTTTAACAATTTTTCTTTAATTTATTCGTGTTTTTTATTTTGTTATATTTATTTTTTTTAACTCTACTTCGGGTTGTATACGTTCGCAAATATGAAATATGTGAAATAATTAAAAAATTATAAAAAAAAAAACGAGATCGTAAATTACTCAAATTATAATTGAATATTTTTAATTTATTTTTTTTTTCACTTTTCAATATTCATTTTTCAAAAAAATAATAAAAAATAAACAAACAATAAATGTAATTGAAATTAATTAATAAATATTAATAAAAAATTAAAATTAAATTTAAAATTTATTATAGAAAATAATTAAAAAAAAAAAATATTTTTTTTTTTAAAAATCAATCAAAATTAAAACCAAAAAAAGAAAATTAGTTTGCATGACAGATTACTCGCAACCAGATTTAGAATCCGATTTTTTGCCTTATAAAAACGTCAAACTGGCGGCTACCGTAGCAATGAATACATCCTATCATCCGTATTCGGATATATCACCAACACATCCGCCTAGTCCAGATAATAATAATTATCCGCCATTATCAGCGGGTGGTTATCATAATGGACATATTGGTGTACATACACCACAAATGACACAAATGCCAGATGATGTATCACCAGAATATCATCATCAAAATCATCATAGTAATCATCATCATCCACATCATCAATTGAATAATAATAATAATAGTCCAATTAAACATTGTGCAGGCTGTGGTGGTAAGTTACAAAATAAAAAAAAAAAAAACAAATTATTTAAATTACTTTTTTAATTACATGATTATTATTAAAATAAATAATTTATTAATTATTAAAAATATAAGTATATTATATTATATGTATGCGTTTAATATAAAATTGAGTTAATTATAGTTTTAAATATACGAAATTAATATAATTTAATGGAAAAAATATGAAAAATTTTTCATAGAAAATAAAATTTTAATAAAATTTCGATGAATTAATAAATTTATTATAATTTTAAAGCGTTCTGTAGTGCTCAATTAGTGGCCTATCCAACAATCTTGCAAAAATGAATTATTATGTTCAATAGAGATGTAGTGGCCTAAAAAATTATTCTATGTTTTCAAAATACTTAGATTACTCCTCCTCTTAATTATTAGTCTTAGATTACTCCTATTTGACATAAGTTTGTTTTTGCCTTTTAAAAATTTTCTTAAAAATTTCAAATATTTAACATTTTAATCGCAATTTACTCGAAATGTAATTTTTGCAAGTAGACCACTAATCCGCTAAGCGTCTCAATTAAAAGCAAAAATTTAAATTTTAAATTTATCTATACAATGTTAAAGATTAATTTGTTAAAGAACTTTTTATTAATCCCATTGAATAATTATAGTTTCCTTTTCTGAATCAAATTTAATAAGAATAAATTAATAATTTTTCATTGTACAATTTCAAAATGTATAAATCACTTTGATTTATTATTCTAAATTAATTAAATAGATTAATTTCCTTTAATAATCAAATCAATTAATTTTCTATATTTAATTAAAATAAAAAACTATTTATTTTCTGTTTTTTATTTTAAAATTTTAATGATGTAAATTCAATTAAATGAATTCAAACGTTATTCAAAATAAAAAATAAATAAAATTAGGTAAAAAGTGAATGTCGGTGTTAAAAATTCTAATTGTATGAGATGATAAACAATTGAGTTTCTTTGATTGTACTCATGGCACTTAAACATCCAAAAACTGTTAATAAGCCCCTTCATATTACCACTATTATTGTAAACAAATAATTAAAAGTAAAATTTGGCAATTTTTCCTTTATATAATAAAACAATAATTATTTTCTATTTCGTCCTCTGGCAGCATTTGCTTTTCAATCATGCAAACAACAACCTGTTTCAAAATAAAATTCTGAAAAGTGAACACATAGTTCTTTTTTATAAATTTTTTTCAATTTTTGAAAAACTTGTTAAAAATGTCACTTAATATACATATTATCATAAAGTGTCCAAGTATTGTAGTATTGTCAAAAATTTGGCAAACTTGAGGACGCTTAAATAGCTATATCAAAAGAAAAAAAATTGGGAAGAAAGAAAAAATAATGAAGACATTAAATTTTCTTTTAGTAATAATTGATTTTGATAGTGGGCAATGGTCTTTTATTATTTCCAGTTATGACTAAATTTTTTTCAAATGAATTTCAAATAAATATTTAAAAATGAATGTAAACGAGTTCTTGTGATTGTGTGTTTCAAATAGTAGATTGAATGTAGCATCACAATATGAACAATACTTAATAATCATGTGGATTACAGTATAAAGCGATGTGAAGAACAATTTGCCGACAATCTTCTCATACCTCTGTATAGAAAGCGGCAGGTACGTGGATGGAGTCCAGTTCGAGAAGAAAATTTTTTTAATTTTTTCTCACTCACTCGTTCCTTTGATTACGTCATCCATCTGTTCTGCAGTTGTATGAAGAGATTTCCATTAGTTATTCATAAAAAAATTCATTAATATCCTTGAAGCTGAATTTAATTTCGTGATTATTTGGAATCCTATATCTTCATATACGTACATATGTACATACTCATAAATGTATGTATTTTTTTTTAATTACATTTAACATAACCATCCTCGAATAATAAAAAGTCATCGTTTTCTATTATTTTAACAAAATAAAAAATAATTTTTTTTTTTCAATAATATTTTAATTATCATTATTCTATTTTCATTTTGTGTCTTTTTGTGTTTTTTTTCTATAGAGAAAATATCGGATCGGTTTTTATTGCACGCCTTAGATAGATATTGGCACAATTCGTGTCTTAAATGTAATTGTTGTGGTGCAATGTTAGCTGATATGGGAACCAGTTGTTATACTAGACGTGGACTTATATTGTGCAAAAAGGATTATTCAAGGTAATTAAATTTTAATAATAATATAATTGAAATTTACTTTATTATCATTTATTATTGTTATTGTTATTATTGTATAATTTATATTTCAATTTTATAATGCATTAATATGATAACATTGCTATATATATGTATATATTTATCTGAGCATTAATATAATGTACTTGTTATACACATATGCAGCTTGAATGTGTATAAATTAAGTATTTAAATGAATATATACGCGTATGGGATTAAACGAGCATGGATTAACTTTATAATTTTTTTTTTATTCTGTTATTTTTTTTCTTCTTATTTTATTATTAAAGTTTATTGTACTTTTGTTGTTGTTATTTTTTTTTTTCGGAATTATGTCTGCAATTATTATTTGTACTGTACAAACATATTATATACATAACATAATAGTATGCTCGGATCAAAAAGAAAGGATAATTGATTAATAAAAATGAAATTAAAATTAAATGAAATACGAAATGGAAATTAATTTAAATTGAAACTGAATATACATTAAGAAAAAAAATAACAACAAAAAAATTAATTAAAATAAGAAGAAAAAAAAAAATATTAAATTACTGATATTAAAAGATTATAAGTTTTAAAAATGAATATAAAAGTAAAGGAATGAAAGAGATACAACGAAAGATTGAAAGTACTAAAAAAAAAAAGAAGGAAAAGCAAAACAAAAATTAAAATTTCTCTTTAATATTTTGAATTTTTAATAATCTTATTATAGAGTTATAATTTTTTTTTTTTTTATAAATTAATTAATGAATGTAGGGTGATACCATACTTAATGTTCTATTGAAAATATGAGGTCAACGAGAGTTTTCAGAATGTTTTATAGAAGATGCACTCAAATATGGTGCTAAAATTTTTAATTTTTTCGAAATGACGTCTTCGAAAATATGACGTCTGTGGCGTGATGGCAACATGATGGTGATGGTGGCGAAGATGGAGACGCAGACGAAAACAATGACGGTGAGGATGACGACGACGGTAACTGTAACGGAGACGGTGACGAGGACTGTAACGGTAACAGAGACGGAGACGGTGACGAGGACGATAACGGTAACGGAGACGGAAACAGAGACGATGGCGGGTACGGAAACGATGAAAGTAATGGTAACGGTGATTGACGGTGAAGATGATGGTGATGTGAAATTATTTGACGGGTAGATGACATGATTCCCATATGTGTTTTAATTAGAAGTATACTTTTTGTAACAAAAATTGGAGTATAATTTGATTTAACTCGATTACTCACTAAATCGGCTAGAACCAATATCTTCTACTTGAATTCAATAAATGTTCATGTTGTAGGATGGGTGTAGGCATGGTCTCAATGGGACATTGCTAGTTTATACATATATAATGACATAAATTAAATTATTAATTAAATGTAGTCCTATAAATGTTGCTAATGCCCTGTTAATGGAATTCGAATTTGCCTTTCTCACGAAAAATTTAAAAAGCTGATACGTAGTAAGTTTAATTTCCTATTTAGTGGTTTTTTGTTACCGACTACCTAGAATTTAGTTGTATTAGAAAAGTTCTTAGTAAAATAAATGTTATTGCTCTTATTTTCTTAATCGAGTATTGTTCATTCTGAATTACCATACCAAAAATAAAATTCGAAGGCAAAACTCTCCAAATTATATTACAAATTCGGTGAATTTTAATTAAATGCTTTGCTATTTAAAAATTTGCATATTCTAATTTTTTTAATTTTAATAATGATTACCTATTTATTTAACATCAATGCGTTTAGGTATAGAGTAAAATTTCAAATTAATTTAAATTTGCAATTAAAATATAATTAAAATATAATTAATAATTAGAAAAAGAAACACTTGGACATTGTTTCAATATTCTTAATTAACAACCGAAATCTTTTATATAACGCACACGCACGCCTTAACAATAAAATTCTTTATAAATTTTTCATCTAATGATAATTAATAATTACACATTTTTACTTTTATCTTTAGAATCTCTTTTAGAAAAAAATTATCCGACAAAATTGACCCTTTATGAAATTTATTTTGCTTTTTTATTAAAATTGAATTGCACCTTAACCCAAAACTCATATACTTACTACATTTCCCAATCCCACAAGCATTATATACTAAGAATTTTCTTTACGATTTTGTAATTAATCATTACATACCCTTAAATAATAAAAAAAGAGCAAGAGTATTGAATTTATACTCAATTTTTAGATGAATCGCAATGATAGAAACGTTCAATTCAAGAAAAAGTAAAATCATTAAAAATATTATCTGTACTATATACGCTAGCTATTTAAAGAAAATGTAATAAAAAAAAAATAATAATAATAAAATAAATAAAATTCATTACCTTGTATAATATATTTTCCGTCTTTTACCTTTTGATGGACACTCTTTTCGAAATGATCAACCTCTGCCATCATTCAATGACAGGTACAATAATTATACACAAGTGTTATATACATTGTATATATACATATATATTTATATATATTATATGTATAGTATACCGTATGTAACTTTTATATCACAAAACGTAAATCACTAACCATATACATACATGTGTATGTATAACAACCCACCATCAATAATGATATACGGATATTTGAGCACACGTACAATTAATCTTTAATCTGTTTTCTAAGAACACTCCTTACCGATTAAGACCTTTGCTAATATATATATATATATAAAAAAAACGAAAATAAAAAAGAAATATATATATAGAAAAAGGTAAGACAATAAAAGTTTTATGCTTACATAATAGTACATGTATATAAAAAAATTAGACTGACCAGATGTAATGAAATGCATATTAGTGTTTTCAATAATATTTCTGGTTTCGGAAGGAAATCACAAAAAAAAAAACATTTTCATTATCGAATTTCACTATGGAAAAATTATCAGATTTCATGTAGAGCCTATATAGCTTCTAAATCTAGTTAGAATTTTCTTTAAAAATTATTTTACGTCGAACTTAAAGATATGTCTTTTTTTTAACTAAACATCCGATTGATATTCTCAAATTTTATATATAGAGTTTTGAATTTAGAGTTGCAATCCCATTAAAATTTAAAAGGGGATTAAATAACCAATTTAATTAAATATTTTGTAATTTAATATTGTGCCCCCCATCCTACACTACACTCTTGAACGTTCAATGGTCTTGCCTAGAGTACATTTTCGATACCTACTTAACCAATGAATTTGAATAACTTTTCCGAAGCAATATCCGTGGATTACGATAGTTTAGAATAAAATTTTTTTGTTACAATCTGAACATAATAATATTAAAATTACTGTAATTGAATGTAAAACCTCTGGTCACTCCTAACAAATAATAATAATAAAATGTACACATGTTACTATGATTACAACAACAATAATTTCAATAAAGGTAATAACAACGATAAGATATGTAATTAATCGTATTTTAGTTTTTTTGTTTTTGTTTTATTATTCTTTTTTTCTTCTTCTTAATGGGAAAATTACCTTTTTTAGATTACAAAAAGGAAAACAATAATGAAAATAATAATAAATCTTATGGCTGAGTTTTAAAGGCCCAAGCCCAAAAAAACAAAACTAAAAAACAACGAAAAAACAAAACAAAATTAAAAAGTTTTACAAAGAATTACGCTTCAATTACTTTTCTGTTAAAAATTAGGTGGTACACTTCAAATAGTACTCAAAATAATGATTCCAAAGATTCTTTCTCTTTCTTCTCCTCTTCTTCGTAATTCATGTGTTTTTCTATTTCTCATTTCGTTTTCATCTCGCTCTGCAATTTTTACCTTCTTTTAATTTTTGATTTTTAATCTTTTTCAAGATAAAAACAAAATCGTTGATTTTTCATTTTCTTCTTCTTTTTTTTTTCAATACTTATCCAAAAAGGTGAGTCTGAAATCATATAGTATAAAATAGAAAAAATGGAGAAGAAAAAAATTAAAATTTTTAAAATTGATTTGATCACACTTGAAATAGCTTGAAACCATCATTAGACACGTAAAAACATTCGTACAAACGTGAAAGCTTTGATTTTTTTTTCTCTTTATATAGAAAATTTTTTTTTCTCATTCTCTTTTTTTTGGGTATCTCTTATATGCTTGCATAGTTCAGACATATTTGATTTCAAGATATCATATTGATGATGGCCCGGTATTGATGAGGATGATGAAAAGAAATTAAAATAAAACAAAAAAAATCTGGATGTCGACAAATGAAACAAAAAAAAAAAAATGAGAAAAAAAGTTTAAAGTTCGCTCGCACCTTTAAATTTTTTTTTTCTTCGTTTACCTTTTAAAAGAGAAAAAAAAATAAATATAAATTTATTTTTAATTTTATTCTGTAAATCATAAAAATTCCTATGTGACTTGACTTGCTCACTTTAGTTCTGAATTGGTGCAGTAACATTTATTTCTTATTTGACGTTTAAGTTGACTTATGCTATGCTCTTGAATAATAAGTACATATATGCACATGTGCCAAAAAAATGGACAATTAAGAATTAATTGGTCTACTAAAAATACTAATACAGTCGAATGTCCATAATATGAATCATTTGTTCGCAATAAAATTAGTTCGTGTGAAAAATTTAATAAAATATTGTAGATGTGTGTCAAAGAGAATTTTGTCTCACCAGTGTTTGCGTTATAGAGATTTTACTGTTCAAATAAAAATTAAAAAAATTTTGCAATAAAGAGCTAGCTGTTCCAAATTCTATTTCAAATTCAAAATTTGATTGGTATCTGACATCTGGCGAGCTTTGCTGAATCTTCAATCAATGAGATATTAAGTTTAAAATAAGGAGGAATTCAATATTCTATATACTCGTATAAACAAGCTCTTTAAAAAATTAAATTGGTTTTCACTATTAAAAAATTTATTCGAAACTATATGTAGTGTATATGAATATTTTTCGTGGTTCATAACATTCTATGTATATAATTTGAGGCTTTATTTAAACAGCTACTCAACGAGAAGTTTGTTATCTCATTA